CCTTGCAGAGGGATATGATGCATGGAAGGGTGGAGGGTCAACAAAGAAGAGAAAGACCCTAGACCAGGTGGATTGACATAATGACTGCCACAATGGGCTGTAATGTGTCAGGAAGGGTGAGGATGTCACAGAATAGGACTTAATGTCACCCAATAACAACAAGAAGAAGGGAGTAACTTATCTAGAAAATCAGTATCTCTGCTGACTTAGTGGTAAGAATTTGTACTTCCAAGCACACAATTTGAATCCACCAGCAGCTCTGAGAGCAAAAGATGGACAATCTTCTCTCATGTGATTTACTGCCTTGGAAAACATGATGGAAGGCCAGTATGCGTAGGTTCTAAATTGATGGTATGTGTCAATTACAATCTCAGAAACTGGCAGCTTTCAATGAAGAGGTTCTTCATCAATCTGTTCTCAGGGTATACAATGATGATGTGGCACAGAATTCTCAGATGATTTGCAATAGACAATGAAGTGTGAGTGAGATAGGAATCTTTATTGTTTGAGCCACTGAGGTTGGATTTCGTTGCTTTATTTGTTACCTCAATCTATTCTATCTGAAGAATACAGGTGACACCATCTATCCCAACTGGCTACCATCCACTGAGATGATCTCATTTCCACTTGGTTAATAATCTACCCTTACTGAATCATCTACAGTTCCTCATCTCAGGACCTCTTTGCATTCAAACTTTCTACTTTTTCTGGAATCCTCTGTTGATACAGCATCACACTGAGTCATGGGAAACTGTGAAGCCTTCTAGCCTATCTACTGCCATCATTTTTTCCCTGTAATTTCATTGTTGTTGTTAGCTGCAGTTTAGTGGAGTACCATTCATAGCGACCCTAGGGACAACATATCTGAACCCAGTCCTATCCTGTGTCATCCTCATTATCTCTGACACATTTGAGCCCATTGCTGCAGTCACTGTGTCAGTCTACCTTGTGGAGGGTCTTTCTCTCTTTCATTGGCCCTCCATCTTTCCAAATAGGAGCTCCCTTTCCAAAGAATAGCCTCTCCTAGCAACATACACAAATATGTGCAACAAAGCTTCACCATTCATGTCTCCAAGGAGCACTCTGGCTATACTTTTTCCAAAACATAACCGTTTGTTATTTTCACAGTCCATGGGATATTCAGTACTTTTCTCCAACACCCCAACTCAAAGACATCCATTCTTCTTCTGTCATCCTTATTCATTGTCCAGCTCTCAGATGTATAGCAAGTGATTGAAAAGATCATGGCCTGAATTGAGCACATTTTAGTCTTCAAACGGATATCATTGTTCCTCAGTAATTTGGAGAAGTCCCTGGCCGCAGACTTTCCCAATGCAATACATCTCTAGATTTCCTGACTGCTGGTACCTAGGGTGTTGATTGTGGATCCAAGTAAGGTGAGATTGTTGACAATTAAATCTTTTCTCCATCTATCATGATGTTGCTTATGGACCCCGTGGTGAGGATTTTTGGCTTCTTGATGTTGAGAGGCAATCCAAATTAAGGTCTTTAATCTTCTGCAGTAAGTATTTCAGGTTCATCTCCCTTCCAGCAAAGCAAGATTTGTGTCATTTGTATAACTCAGGTTGTTGATGAGTCCTACCCTGATACCACATTCTTCTTCATAGAGTCTAGCTTCTTAAATTATTTGCTCAGTGTACAGACTGGATAGTTATGGAGAAAGGACACAACCTGATTTTAAACCATGCAGTATTCTCTTGCTCTGTTCAGATAACAGTTTTCTGGTCTAGGTATAAACTTTGTAAGAGCATAATTAAGTGTCCTAGGATTCCCATCCTTCTCAATATTGTTGCTGTTATGTGCTGTCAAGTAATTTGCAACTCACAGCGACCCTATGTACAACAGCCCTGAATCCTGCTCTATCCTGTGCCAACTTTATTGTCTCTGACACACCTATCCCAGTCTCTGTAACAATACATCTCACTGATGGTCTCCCTCTCTTTCTCTGTCCTTTCAACTTTCCAAGCATGTCCTTGCAACATGCCCAAAATATATCAGATGAAGCTTCAGAATCCTTGCCTACAAAGAGCAGCCTTGGTTAACCCTCTCTAGGATGAACCTGTTTGTTCTCCTGGCAGTCTACGGTATATTCAAAACTCTTCTCCAGAACCACAGCTCAAAGGCATCAATTATCTTTCTGTCATCCCTAGTCATTGTCCAGTTCTCTGATGCATAGCAAGAAATTTCAAAGACTATGGTCTGGATCAGGTGCACCTTAGTCTCCAGACTGAAATCATTGCTGTTCAGTACTCTGGAGACGTCCCTGACAGCAGGCTTTCCCAATGCAATTCATTTCTTGATTTCCTGGCTTCTGGTACCAAGAGTGTTGATTGTAGAGCCAAGCAAACTAAAGCTGTTCACAATCTCAATTTCTTCACTGTCCATCATGATGCTGTCAATTGACCCAGTGGAGAGAATCTTTTGTTTTCTTGATTTTGAGCTTCAATTCATATTGAAGTCCTTGATCTTCTTCAACAAGCACTATAGGTATTAGCCATAGTTTATTGTGATCTACACAGTCAAATGCCTTTGCATAGCAATCTCATTACTTCCCAGGAATCCTACTAAGGAAAAAAAGAGAAGACTGCCCCTTACCTCCTGGGGTTTTCACCATTCCCACTTCTTTTATTTTTAAATTTATTATTAATTTCAATGAAAATTTACAGAGACTTTGGATTTCCATTCATTCATTGTTGCACTTTTCTCTCCTTCCAACCCTCCCCACCTAGTACACTACCCTCTTGGAAAAGTAAAATTCTTTCCTTGTTTTACAAACAGTTCCCCAGGTCCGCTCCACTATGCAACCTTTGCTCTGGACTTCTGTCATGACAAAAATACCTAATCACATATCCCTTTTAAACAGTTTTCTCCCTCATCTGTTTCAAGGCAATATACATTATTGAACCCATCTTTCTCAGTCTCATCCCAAGCCCAAGATCAGTCCTGTTTTACAACAGTGGCACCATGCAGTATTTGTCCTTTTGTGACTGAGATATTTCATGCAGCATAATGTTCTCCAGGGTTACCCATTTTGAATAATATTGCATGACTTCCTTGTTTTTCAATGCAGCGTATTATTCCATTGTGTGAATATACCACAGTTTCTCTATCCATTCATTTGTTGATGGGCACTAGGTGTTTCCAACTCCTTGCTACTGTGAACAAAGCCGCAATAAACATGGGTGTGCATATATCTGCTTGGATGTCAGTTATGGTCTCTTAGGGGTATATTCCCAGTAGTGGCATTGCTGGGTTAAATGGTATCTCTATTTGCAACTTTTTGAGAAAGCACCATACTGCCTTCTACAGTGGTTGCACCATTTTACGCTTCCACCAACAGTGAATAAGGCTTCCAGTTTCTCCACAACCTTGCCAGCACTTGTTGCTTGCTGTTCTGTTAAAGTTTGCTATTCTGACTGAGGTGAGATGATATTTCATAGTTGTTTTAATCCATTCCCACTTCTTAACCAGGAGGTACTAGTTTTTCCCTTTTCAAATCCTCACAACAATTACTCTCTTCTTGATTTTCTTAAAAGTTTTCCTTTTCTTCAAACTTACCAACGCCAATTGAGACCTAGCTGATTTTGACTCAACACAACCCCATGTAAATCCCTGAGTCTGGAGAGTCTTAATCTCACATCAAGCAAGAAGCCTTATTCTGATTCCCCAGTTAATCTACCAAATATACTATCCTAATTTTACACTCTTTGTATCACATTCTGCACCCTCTACTCCTAAGCAAAGACCGGACTTTCAGAACTCAAGAACAAAGAACAAAGAATTTCCTGCTCTTAATTTCTGCTGGATCCTATGCTCCTCTGAGGCACTGAATGAGGACTATTTTAGCTGCTTGAATGGAGCAAGGGCAGGGAAACAGAATATATTGTGGTGGTAGTAGGAAGGTGAGGGAGTCTATCTCAACTGATATTTTTTAAATATTTTTCTGTCATCTGTTGTGCATTTTTATTTAATATGAATCTGAGAACTGAAGGAAAGGTGCCTGCTCAAAGGAATCCAGTGTGACTATTTTAAACCATTGTGTTCAATCTCAGTGTTCCCATCTGAATATTCCATTGTATAACTGTTACCCTTGTAGAAAGTCTTGTGACAGATGTGAAGAGTTTGAGGTTTGCATCTCCCCTAGAGATTATGAGGCACCGAGGACAGAGACAATTTATTCCACATACATCACAATTTTCCAAACATTGAGAAGGACTACCAGGAAGTAGTTAACTAAGAGGTAACAATGAGGATATTCATATACTTCAACTTTCAGTTGCTGGGTGTGCCTATCTCACATCACCCTCTTAGGTTCTGAAAAGGACCTTTTTCCTCTTGAGTGAACTGGAAAAACCCAAGACAGAAATATGGATCTCTGTGAATTGAAGATAAGAGAAGACAAAGCATTCAAATGTCACCCTCTGGGTGGGATACACCCTGGGTTAAAACCTGATGTCCTGCAAGGCCTGGGCGGTTTCCCATGGGCGGGGTGACGCAAAGTGGCTTCCATGGCTCACCCCACTCACGGCCTGTTGACATTTACTTTTCTAATCTAGGCACATCACGTTCTTGATACTGGTGCAAAAAGAAACCACCAGACCTACTCCTCGCCTCTCTAAAATTCTTTAGCAGGACTCCCTAAACCAAACAGTGTACCTGGCCCGCAGGTTTGGAGCGAGGTTCCACCCCAAACCCTTTCAAGAAAGGCCGGTTCTGAGGGGCGGGGCCTGCAGGGGCGGGGCCTGCGGAGGGGCGGGACCTAACGGGGGTGGGGCCACGAGGGGGCCGGGCAGTGGACTAGAGTTTCATTTTGACCGGTTGGGCCTAAAGACTTTTGTTCTGGTTCTGCCTGTCTTCCATCTGGCATCTGAGCCTCTTGGAGTACCTACGACCTCAGCCCCCGGGACTACTGAGCTTTTTTCCCTTGACATCGGGAACCAGCGACGTCTGAATCCCAGAGAAGATTGTCTTTGGCTGTCATGGCCGCGGCCATGGGTTTACGGGCCTGCGGGGCGAAGTGGCCTGGCTGGCGCCTGCGCTGCCCGTGGTCTCCGCTCACCGCCGGCTTCTGCAGCCGGGGACTCACTGGGGCCGGGCGGCCGGAGCCCGAGCCGCGACCTACCAGCGCGCGGCAGCGGGACGGCATCAGGTTAGCCCCGGGCCGCGCCTGGCGTCTGCCTTCTCCTCTGTCCGCTGCCCTAACTGGGGAAGGGGCCCGGGCAGAGGTGGCCGCGCAGGCCGAGTACACTTGGGTTGAGGCCCTCTGCCACTCTCACGTTCTCCCTTCACTTTGGATTCTGGCCTCCCAGGAAGTCTGACGTTAATTTCTTTGAAGGACTCCCAGAATACGAGTTACAAGAGGTGTCCTTTGCACGTGATAGCACGTGGAGAAATTTAACATTCCCTTGGATGAGCCCAGTTTGCCTCTTAATCCCCTAAAGCAATCCAGAGTATAGGGCTTTTGGTTCAGTTTTTGAGAAAATATTTTTGACCCAAATCTAAGCTAGGGTTAGGTTTAGCAAAGTTTCACCTCTGGCTGCCCTCCCTCAAAAGTGGAGGAGGGCCAGGAAACATGATTAAATACACTGTACTAAGTTTTGTTCTTTGCTCAACAAGTCTAAAATCCTTGGGCTAAATACCTTTACGCAAATTGGACGATCAAAGGTTGGAGGGTACCTAGTGTGACTTTAGCATGTTCTTTCTAGCAGAGGTATAAAAAGGAGGACTGGTTGCATGTCCAAAGTTACAAAAGCAAGTTGTTAAATAAAATATCCTTTACTTTCCTACCCTGACAAGTATACGTTAATAAAACTTGGCAGGCATGTTTGAATTCATAATCCTCAGATATCTGAAAAGGGCAAAGAGCCAGCCCCTAGCCTGCCACTTTTTGCTTTTCTTCTCAATATAATTTCATTGCTCCCTTTTTGCTCCCAGGTCCTCTTTTCTCCTCAGCAAGGGCTTTTGCACACAAGTCTTCAGGTACCCTAATCAGCCTGTTCCTATTCTTTTATCTTCTCATGCACTACAAACAGCTTCTTTTAGCTGCTTCTTTCACGTAGGCATGCCCAAGAAGAGCAGGGAACCCGGAGCAGGCCAAGGTTTGGTTAGGGACAGAGATTTCTAAGTGGACACATCCCAGTACTCATTGAACACCTTATTCTACTGGAAGGGGGCCGAAGAAGAGCTTTGCAAGAGTATAGAACTCCTTGTCTACTTCTGGTATTTTCACTTTCTGGCAAGATCAATCTGATATCAATAGTGATATCTCTCAATCCCTGACTTCTTCTGAGTCCAGCTTGAATTTCTGGCAGTTTCTGCCAATGTACTCTTTAAGCTGTTTTTTAACTATCTTCGCCAAGATTTTGTGTGTGATAAAAATGATATTGCTTAATAATTTCTAAATTTTCTTGGACCACCTTTTTTTTTAATGGGCACAAGTACGGATCTTTTTTATTTGTTCGGATAGGCAACCATCTTCCAGATTTCCTGGCATAGGTGAGTAAGCATGTTAGGTGAATTTTGGCAGAAAGCAAAAGATATTAGAAAAATGTTTACTTGTGTTTCATTTACCATGCAAGGGCATCTGACGGTGTGGACCATAGCAAATTATGGATTGCATTGAGAAAAATGGGAATTCTGGAACACTTAATTGTGCTTATATGGAACCTGTACATGAAGCAAGAAAGAAGCAGTGGCTCATACAGAACAAGGAGAAACAGCATAGTTTAAAATCAGGAAAAGTGTGTATCAGTGTTGGATCCTTAAACTATATATATGCTGAGCAAATAATCTGAGAAGGACTACATGAAGAAGAATGTACCATCAGGATCTGAGGAAGATTCAACAACATTCAATATACAGATGATCTTGCTTGCAGAAAAAGAAGACTTGAAACTTATTAATGTAGCTCAAAGACTATATAGCCTTAAATACACACACACACACACACACACACACACACACACACAGATACACTTAAAGAAAATAAAAATCCTCCTAACTAGGCCAATAAACAACATAATACATGGAGAAAAGAGTGAAGTTGTGAAGGATTTCATAAATGGGGAAAAGTCTGCATTGCCAATGATTTAATTTTATATTGATTTGCAATGAACACTCATTAAAGTTGCAGTCAAGAAATCAAACTATGTGTTTCATTGAATAAATCTGCTGTCAAGGACCACCTTAAAATGGTAAAGCACAAGGATGATACTTTGAAGAGTAAGGTGCACCTAACTTAAGTCATGGTGTTTCCACCTTCTTTATAAGCATATAGGGACTTCTCGTGGTATAGTACATAGGGAGTTGTGTTGCTAACTCAAAGATGGCAGCCATCTCTTGGAGTTCAAATTCACCTGTAGCCATGAGGGAGAAATATAGAGAGTTTTCTGTCATGCATTTAAATAGCCTCCAATAATCTATTGGAGGGTCAGCTATGAATTAGTTCTACTCAATGACAATGAGAACATGGAAGAATATTGTATTGAACATGGACTGCCAAAAGAGCAAACAAATCTATCTTGGGGGAAGTGCAACCAGAATGTTTTTTAGAAGGAAGGATGCTGAGACTTCATATCCCATATTTTGTGCATATTTCAGGAGGGGCAGTCCCTGGAGAAGGAAATCATGCTTGAAAAAATAGAGGATCAGAGAAAGAAAGATCCTTAAGGAGATAGATTGACACAATGACTGCAACCATGAGTTTAGGTACAGCAGAGATTGTGAGGATGGCAGAGAGATGGTTCATACATGGGTCACTATGAATCAGCACCTAAACACTGTAACCATTTTTCTGCTCCTACAAATCTGGTTGTGTCTTGTCAGGCACCTGGGTTCTGGCATGACAGTCAGATGATAAAAAAGGCTCTCCAGAGTTAAACATGACTTAGGAAAGTGATTGAAACAATCAAATGCTGGAAATAATTTCCCAAGAACCTATTGCTGTTGAGTGAATTCTAACCTATATTGACCCTATAAGGACAGAGAACAGCCTATAGATTTCCAAAGTTATAATCTTTATGGAAGTAGACTGCCATGTCTTTTCCAGCAGAGTAGCCAGTGCGTTCAACCTTCTAGTTAGTAGGCTAATGCTTAACCACTGTGCCACCAGGGCCCTTAGACATTTTCTAGAGAAAAGAAATGCCCAAACCAAGCTTTAAAACAATATTGTGCCCCTGGCTGGCAGAAATGGTTAAGCTCTAACTACTACCTAAAAGGTTGACAGTTCGGGCCTACCCAAAGAAGTCCCTCAGAACTAAGTCCTCGTGATCTATTTCTGAAAAGGCTCAGCCTTGAAAGTGCAGTTTGCTCTAATAAACATGGTTTAGCCATGAGAGGGGAATCGTAATGAATTGTTTGTTTGCAAAGCTATCCCTTTCAAAAATAATGCTATCATTGAATGAGAGCCAACTATGAGTTGTATACTATGTTAGGCATTGCGCATTCATTGCCCCTGATCCTTAGAATACCCTTCAGGTCACATAATATCCTAACTTTATAGTGATGAAACAAGTTCAAAGAAGTTACAAGACCATTCATTCAAGGCTACATGGCTAATAGGTAAGGACAGAAAATCTGTCACCAAGTTATTTCTACTCTGTAGTGTCATCTTTCTACTCACCAGTTAGGTTTAAAAGAGAATGGTAAAACAAAAGGATTAATCAAACCCCGCCACTAGACAAGATGTAAATCTATGGCAGCTATATATTCTGCTGGAATTAGCTCTGAAAAACAGAAATGCTGTTTCTTGCCATCAATCAAAAGATTCTTGTTAACAGTCTCTCACTGCATGGACCTCTTGGTGGTACAATGCCAACTGGAAAGCTCCTTGGAAATTCTCTGGGGAGCATCTCTGGAGCACAATTGTAAATGAAAAGGCTGTGTTTATATCACATCCCCCTGTGGTAACCTCACTCTTAAAAGAGATTCCTTCTTGCCTTTGGTAGTCTGGGTCCTGCTTGAGGTGTTAAGACATCACATGTTTTGAATCAAGATAACCATTCAGAGAATGGTAAGATTTTTAGGCTGTTTTGAGTTAGTTGACAGTTAAATAAGGAAGAGATAGACATCTAGGGTGACTAAAGTTTCCAAGACGAGTGAATGGTTGCGCTGAGATAAGGGAAAGAACAAAGAGGTAAGTTTTAAGAGTTAGAAGTCAATAGATAGCTGAACAAGTGGAGCTGGAGCTAGAAGGGAGATCTGACTTAGCACTAAAGAACAGAACTTGGCAGCCCAGAAGTTGCACTTGATGCCAAGAGCATTGGTAAAGTTGTCCAGGAAAATTACTTGGATCAACAACAACAAAAAACTATGCTATAATATTGGTTGCAGCGCATAATGACCCTATAATACAACAACATACTGCCTTCAAGTTGGAACTGACTTATAGTGACACTCCCTTGCGTTTCTTGGGGATTTCTTTTCCCCACAGAGACCATGGTGGACCTGAGCCTCCAGACAGGCATGACCTTTAGATTAGCAGTGCAACATTCTACAGACTACACCACCAGAGATCAGCGACCCTGTAGGACCTTGCAATGCTGTAAACAAAAATATTAGGGGTTAGAATCCACCAAACTAAAGCTGGAAAGCCTCCTACCATAAAGATTTACAGCCTTGGACACCTGATGTCAAGATGCTGAGTTGAAAGTGACTCACCAGCAGTAAGTTTGTGTTGTGGAAACAGAGGAACCAAAAGCTTAATGGGACACAACAGATACTGCTGAGCTGTAAGGGAATTTTTTTTTAAAAAAAACACACATTTTGCCTGCTGCCTTAGAATCTAAGCATATGTGACTGATGGAATGGCAGCTTTTCATGTTTGGTACAGCAAGCATACTCATTATTTTATTGAAAAGTTTATAAGCAGTTTCTCCCACCTTCAGCACAAACAGAGGTTTCAAAGGTAAATCAGTTGCAAGTAAATTTTGTGTTTAGAAAAGAATATGTTTATGAGAAACAAAGTGTTGAGTATCACAGCCACCTGAAGATAGTCACAAAATTGAAATGGTAGTCACAAAATTGAAATGGTATTCCAAAGAGAATGGTTATCTTTATTGTATTGAAATAAATGCACTCATCAAAGCTGTTTTCCAGAAGACAATGGCACAGAATGCTATTTATGGAGGCCCCAAGTTGACTAATAGCCGTAGGAATACCAGATTGAAAAAGGAATAAGAAAGGCAGAAAACATGTAGGTGGGGAACAGATACAAAATATGTAACAATAGTCTAGTGTTTGACTTGTTTTCTATTTCTTGTAACAGCAAAAATAAGACATTTCTGGGTAGAGACAGTAAGATGACAATAAAGGTTATTTTGATCAGCATGTGGGATACCTTAAAATAGCAAACAGGCCCTTTGAATATCAGTTTTTTCGTTAGGTAATATGTCCAGAAGAATCCTCTTGCTGTTTAGTTTTGCCCTTTTGTTCTTCACATATCATTCCATTCTCAGTCAGCATGTTTTATTTTACAGAATTACAGGATGCGAGTAAAGGGGGGGAAAAAGATGAAAAACTGGTGTCATTGGCATGAGTACTGCTGTTGCCCATTCCCTGGGGGAGGGGCATGGGAGATTGTTTTCATTCTTGGCTTCTTTTCTAAACTTGTTCTGAAGAAAAATAGGAAGAAATGAGTTGAAGGTAGCCACCATTTTTCAGATTGCTGTTTTCTGCCGGTGTCATACAAAGCTTGTGTCCTCTCAGTATGGGCAGTGATGATTTTGGAACTGCTGTGACTTACCCTTTCTGTGGAGGTGGCAGTAATCTTTTTGACAGCAAACCTGGCAGAAAAGAGAAACAAATCAAGGAAAGAGGGAGGGAAACCAGCCTGCATCTCAGTCTTTTCCGTGTTTTGACTTCACTGTAGCTCTGGAGAGTTGACAGACCTATGAAAATGGCACCAAGCACCAGCAGTTCTTTCTCCTTGTGTCTTTAAAATAGTTTCCAAATTAAAATGAAATTGCAGGGGTCCTAACTTGTTTTGACTAGTGCATGACCTGGTAATTATAAAATGTTCTTCACAGGAAAATTGTCTTGAGCAATCCAAAGAAGAGGAATGCATTGTCACTTGCAATGCTGAGATCTCTCCAGAGTGACATTCTCCATGAGGCTGACAGCAAAGATCTGAAAGTCATTATAATTTCAGGTATTCCGTTATTATCTATGCTCAGTGTTCTGCAGTGCTCAGAAAAGATATCTTTCAGGTCTTTGCTTAACTGAGGGACATTTCCCTCTATTAACTAGAGAATTGTTTTTTAAGTTCTTTTATAAGAAGATTAATTGTAGAGACTTCTTATGCATTTGAGGCCTTAGTCCTTACATTATTGACTGCAGGAATTACAGCAATGATGTCTATTCACTGAAAACATGTATCTTTTCCTTTTTGTCAGATACTAAACATTGCCACACTTGGCTATACTAATCTTCCTATCAAAATCAGAGAATTTTATTTCCAGAGTATATTATAGACTCTTCTTGTTGTTGTGTACCATTGAGTTAGAACTGACCCATAGATGGCCCTCTGGCAGGGTTTCAGAAGCAGTTAATTGCTTGGGAGGAGACTGCCTATCTTTCTTCCACAGAGCAGCTGGTGGGGCCATGAACTGTATGCCTTCAGGATTGCAGTGCAGCTTCTTGCCACTAACCCTCTAACCCTTTGGTAGACCACCTACTTAGCCACGACTTGGCTACTAGGGCATTTGGTTAGATTGGCTTTTCCGATCTTACCAAGATTTTCAACTGGTATTTGCAAAGTCTTTAATGGTGACAGAAATTTGCCTTATTTTATCCTATTTCTGCTTTTTTTTCCCCAGTGAGATTTATTTCTGAATTATCTTTGATGATGATCATAGTGGTGGTATAAATAATCGTAATGACAGGATTTAAAGAATGCAGAGAAAATAAAACTAGATTCTTCTCTGTTGTGGCTTTTTCTCCCCCGTCCCAAATTAGGACTTGGTTAAGGATTGGTATTTCTGAAAGGCAGATGCTCAGAATACTACCTTCTTTCCACTTGTTGAAGATAATTTTTTAGGTGTTTTATAAAGACAAGGGAAAAGAAATTAGAATTTGTAGTAATGAGGAATTGTGTTGTTGGAGCAAATGCAGCTAATTTTAATTTTATGTATTTTGTTATTGAGAGCAGTTAACTTTTTATCTCCATGATTCCTCCACTTGTAAAAAGGGAGTAGTATCACTTGTCAAAATAACAACAAAAGCAAAATAAATTTCTCAGTGGAATTATTGTAAATGACAACAGTAACAACAGCCATTTCCTGAGACCTCTCTTGTTAACATATGAGCCCGATGGCTCCCAACTTCTCTTTATGCTGTGACCTTCCAGATTCCAGCCTCTATGGATGGAAGTGGTCTGTAGACTAAATGACAAAGGCATTGCCAAAGGCTTGGCTTGGCGATTTTGATAGATTTGTATGAGATGACACATTCAGGCTAAGCTGAGTTTAAAACTAAAAATGTGAGGTCAAAGAGAAGACATCAATTCACCTCAGATATTGAACCTTTTATTTTTTAATTAGATATTTTAATTGGTTTCCATTATGGACCTTTTAGTGTACAGAAACTTCAACTGGCATTTTCATCACAAAAGAATGGTGTAACTTTTCAACTGACTGGTATCTTAGCAAAACTGAGTTTTAAGTGTAAGTGTCCATAGCGTAGATTACTTGCTAAAATAATTTTTTTTGTAAACAAGTAAGTGAACTTCTCAACACTGGTTATTTAAAACTCTTTCTTTTCTTCTTTTTTTAAAAAAAAACCCCTGTAGCTGAGGGGCCTGTGTTTTCTTCTGGGCATGATTTAAAGGAACTGACTGAAGAGAATGGCCATAATTATCATGCTGAAGTATTTCAAACCTGTTCTGAGGTGAGCCAGACTGACAGTCCACATTGCAAATCCCTACATGATAACATTAGTAAATACTGAATTAGGCTCTGAGTTTACAGATTGGATTTAGTCTATAACACCTAACCATGACAGAACTACTAAAAAGTCCATGGTTAATGATAAAACCTGTATCTAAGTAATTATTTAGATTTTTAGATTACTAGATTGTTAATAAAAATGCTATTAGTAATTTGCAGTTGGTTTTCTTTCATTCCAAAGCCAAGAAAATGAATACAGTGGTTCTGATACCAGTTTTAGAAAGAAATACTATGAGAATATTAGGATTTTTTAAAATTTAAACTAAAACATGTGATTTTAAAAATTATCTTACAATCCTTCTTTAAACTTTTCACCATTTCCTAGGAGGAAAATTAACATTCATATTTCTTTCATCTTCCTTTCAGTCTCTTTAACCATTTGTTGTTGTTGTTGTTATGTGCCGTCGAGTCACTTGCAACTCATGTTGTTGTTGTTATGTGCCATTGAGTTGCTTGCGATTCATAGAGACCCTATATACAACAGCCCTAAACTCTGCTCTATCCTGTGCCAATCTCATTGTCTCCAACACACTCATCCCAATTACCCCAGTCACTGAATCAATCCACCCTGGGGGTCTTCCCCTCTTGCGCTGTCCCTCCACCCTCCCAAGCATGATGTCCCTCTCCAAGGACCTGTCCCTCTTTACAACATGTCCAAAGTATATCACATGAAGGCCCAGAATCCTTGCCTCCAAGGAGCAGCCTGGTTTAAGCTTCTCCAGGTTGAATCTGTTTGTTTTCTTGACAGTCCATGGTACATTCAATACTCTTCTCCAGCACCACAGCTCAAAGGCATCAATTCTCCTTCTATCCTTCCTACTCATTGTCTAACTCTCTGATGCATAACAAGTGATTGCAGAGACCATGGCCTGTATCAGACGCACCTCTCTCCAAAGAGACACCATTGCTCTTCAGTACTTTGGAGAGGCCCCTAAGAGCAGACTTTCCCATGGCAGTATGCCTTTTAATTTCCTGGCTACTGGTGCCAAGAGTGTTGACTGTGGAGCCAAGCTGACTAAAGTTGTTAACAATCTCAACCTCTTCACCATCCATCCTGATGCTGCCAATTGGTCCAGTGGTGAGAATCTGTTTTCTTGACATTGAGCCTCAATCCATACTGAAGGCTGCAGTCCTTGACCCTCTGCAGCAAGCATTTCAAGTCATCCTCAGTTTCAACAAGCTGGGTTGTGTCATCTGCATAATAACGCAGATTGTTAATAGATCTTCCACCAATCCTGATGCCACACTTCTCCTTCTAGAGCCCAGCCTCTCTGATAATCTGTTCTGCATACACGTTGAAAAGGTATGGAGATAGGACACATCCCTGGCGTACGCCTTTCCCAATTTTGAACCATGCAGTGTTTCCCTGCTCTGTTCTGACGACTGCCTCTTGGTTCAAGTATAGGTTTCGCATTTAGAACGATCAAGTGTTCTGGGATTACCATTCTTCTCAGAGTCAGCCACAGTTTATGATCCACACAGTCAAACACCTTTGCATAATCAATGAAACACAGATAGATATTCTTCTGGTATTCCCTGCTTTCAGCTAAGATCCATCTAACATCAGCTACAATATCCCTAGTACCACAACCCCTTCTAAACCCAGCCTGGACTTTTGGAAGTTGCAACCCATAGCGACCCTATATACAAGAGCCCTAAACCGTGCTCTATCCTGTGCTAACCTCACTGTCTCCGACATACCTACTCTCATTACCCCAATCAATGAATCGATCCATCTCATCAAAGGTCTTCGTCTCTTGTGTTTGTCCCTCCTCCCTCCCAAACATTATGTCCCCTCCAAGGACTATCCCTCTTTGCAACATGCCCAAAGTACATCAGAGGAAGCTTCAGAATTCTTGTCTCCAAAGAGCAGGCTGGTTTCAACCCTCTCCAGGACGAATCTGTTTGTTCTCCTAGCAGTCCATGATATTGTCAACACTCTTCCCCAGCACCACAGCTCAAAGGCATCAATTCTCTTTCTATCACTGTCCAGCTCTCTGACACATAGCAAACAATTGTGAAGACTATGGCCCGGATTAGGCGCACCTTAGTCTCCAGCCTAATGTTGTTGCTCTTTGGTACTCTGGAGAGGTCCCTAGACAGCTGACTTTCCCAATGCAATTCGTCTCTTCATTTCCTGGCTGCTGGTACCAAGCATGTTGATTGTGGAACCAAGCAAACTTAAAACTGTTAACAATCTCAATCTCTTCACCATCCATAATGATGCTGCCAATTGGCCCAGTGGTGAGAATCTTTGTCTTCTTTATGTTGAACTTCAATCCATATTGAAGGTTGCCGTCCTTGACCTGCAGCAAGCGCTTCAGGTTCTCCTCAATTTTAGCAAGTAGGGTAGTGCCATCTGCATAATACAGGTTGTTGATGTATCTTCCTCTAATCCGGATGCCACATTCCTCCTAATACAGCCCAGTGTCTCAGATGATCTGTTCTGCATACAGATTGAAAACATATGGAGACAAAATACATCCCTGGTGAACACCCTTCCCAATTTTAAACCATGCAGTGTCTCCTTGCCCTGTTCTGACAACTGCCTCTTGGTCCAAGTATAGGTTTCACATAAGCACAATCAAGTGTTCTGGGGTACTCATTCTTCAGAGTCAACTACAGTTTGTTGTGATCCACACTGTCAAAAGCCTTTGCATAGTCAATGAAACATAGATAGACATTCCTCTGGTACTCTCTGCTTTCTGCCAAGATCCATCTAACATTAGCTATAATATCCCTAGTACCACGACCTCTTCTGCAGTTCTCTGTTGACATGTTGCTCCAATCATTTTTGGATAATTTTCATCAGAATCTTGCTTGCATGTGATATTAATGATATTGTTCGGTAACTTCCTCACTCTGTCAGGTCACCTTTCTTTGGAATGGGAACAAATATTGAACTCTTCCAGTCAGTCGACCAGCTGGCTGTCCTCCAGATTTCTTGGCAAAACTTAGCACATCCAGGACAGCATCTGTTTGTTGAAATATGTCAATTGTTATGCCGTTAACTCCTGGAGCCTTGGTTTTTTTCCAATTCTTTCAGAGCAACGTCCTCCATCACCACAGGCTTTTGCTCATACATTGTTTCATGAAATTCTTCTGTGTCAGCCAGTTCTATCTGGTACAGTGACTCTGTATACTCCTTCCATCTTCTTCCTTTCCCCCCCTTTTTAGTCTAGCATTTTATTGTGCTTTACATAAAAGTTTACACAGCAAATTTGTTCTGCAGTCAGTAAGTCACAGACAAATTGTTCTGTGACATTGTCTATAATCCCTGTAAAGGGTCAGCACTCTCCCCATTTCCTCCTTGAGTCCCTTCATCCCTTTCAGTCTCATATAGTTAACTGTGTCCTAAGGAGATCCTTCTTCATAGATGTTACTCTTCCATCTTCTTTTAATGCTTCTTGGATCATTTAACATCCTGCCCAAAGCAACCTTAATTATTGCCACTCATGGTTTGAATTTGTTTTTCAGTTCCTCCTGCTTAAGAAATGCTGAGTGAGTTCGGCCCTTTTGATTTTCTGACTCCGGCTCTCTGCACATTTCATTATAGTATCTTGCTTTGTCATCCCAAGCTGCCCTTTGAAATTTTCTGTTCAGCCCTTTAATTTTTTTCTTTCTTCCTTTAGCTTTGGATTCTCAGCGCTCTAATACAATATTCAGAGTCTCATCTGACATCCATCTTGGTCTTTTCTTCCTCTTCTGCCTTTGTAATGATCTTTTGCATTCTTCATAGACAATATTCTTGATATTCTCCAAAAGCTCATTTGGTCTTCGTTCATTGGTGTTCAAGGCCTCAAACCTGTTCCTGAGATAGTTTTAAAATTCGAGTAGAATAGATTTAAGGTCAAATTTTGGTTCCTGTGGATTTGATTTTATTTTCTTCAGTTTTAGCTTGAATATGAGTAGTTGGTGTTCTGTTCCACAATCAGCACCTGGCCTGGTTTTCACAGCTGATATTGAGCTTCTCTGGTAATTCTTTCCACAGATGTAATCTGTTTGATTCCTATGCATACATACCATCAGGTGAAAGCCATGTTTATAGCTTGCATTTGTGTTTCTTATAAAAGGTATGAGCAAACAGACATAGAAGAGAAAGAAGAGCAAAAAAAGTGTTGGATATTTAGAAATTTGTTAAATCAATTCCTAAAAATAAAATAAAAATTGAATATAGAATCCAACTTCATTGGATTCTAATACACAGGGAACTCTGTGTTACAGTCCTAAAGGAGCTGCTAACCCAAAGGCTGTCTGTCTCTGGTGGTCTGAAATCAGTGGCTCCTCAGGAGAAATTCTGGTTGTCACTTCCGGTGGGACTTAAAGCCATGAGAATCCAATGGAGGGTCAGCTATGAGTCACTTCTAACTGGATGGCAATAATAGCATACACAGTTCACTTGAAGAGAATTTATTTGACACCTCTTATTGTTGTTGATTTCCTTAGAGTCAAGCACGATTCGTAGTGACCCTAGGAACAAAAGGCCTGAAGCCTTTTCTATAACTATCGACATTTATCAAAGTTCGTAGAGTTTCCAGAGGCATGTTGTTTAGGAAGTGGATGCCACTCCTGCTTCCAAATTTGGCACCTACTCTATATATAATCCTTCCAAGATATTAAAGGAAATATAAGAAACATATCCAGCCAAACTTAAATAATAAGACACATACTTGAAAAATTTAGTTCCCTGCAATAAGATTACTTTATTTTTCATTCATTCATTATTTTAAAAATTATGTTTAGAAATTTCATTCAGCAGGTCACACTCAGTTTATTTGGTGACATTGACTCCCATCGTCAAAAGGTAACAACACTCTTCTTCCTGGTGTTTGTCATTTTTCATTCATTCCTTTTTGTCATTTATCAATCAGCAAACATTTTGGCCATTTTTCATCAGACAATCACATGATTTATTGTGCCAGGAATGACAAATTGAAGAAG